AGCAAGGGGAGGGACTTCTGGTGGCAAAGATCAGGGGTTAGGGGTCCCAATGTGGTGACCAGGAGGCAGAGCTGTCAAGGGGCAGGGCTACCTATGCAGCCCCTGACAGCTCACCAAAATGTGTTAAGTGCCCCCTCCTTCACTATAGCCATTCCCACTGTTGCAATCTTGTTCCATCTGACAAAGCCCATACTTCAAGTAAGTCCTTAAAACTGTAAAACCGCAATTAGCAACTGTTTAAAAAAAATCAGCACATCTTTTAGCAAAGTAGCCTAGTATGGAGAAAGTAGAAGATTCATATTATAGATGTCTGTCTGCTGAGGTGGAGTTTGAATCTGTCTCCCATAAAGTGCCTTAACTAGAAAGCCATGGCCTAGAAACTTACCTACTGGGCAGCTAAGAAAGGAAATGATGTAAGGCCGGAATAAATGCATGCTAGTGAGAGAGTGTGGCTCATTGTCTTAGGGAAATGAGCTCTCTTCAGTTCTGGTCTGTGCTGCTTTTTAGCTGCTTAATGTGTTTGTATTTATCAAACACGTGTATGTGTTTTCTCTTGAGGAAGCGAGTGGTTTGTCTGGTTTACTTTGAAAGACAATATGAGACTTTTCTTACAAATATAAATCAATCTGGATTATAAAAACAGAAGAAATTTGGAACTCAGTGTCAGTAAAAAAAGGATGGAAAAGGATTGTTCTAGTGATGACTATGACTTTGTTGAAGAGGATGTGCTGTCAGAGCCATCTCTGATGGAAGAAACTATTTCAAGTTTTGGAAGCAAACTCAATCAAGTCAGATGGACCATGCTTATTAGTGTGCTCCAGCCAGCACTCACATCTTGTGTATCAGCATCCTCATGCTTCAAAATCGTGGTGGGCAGGGTGCTTTAACTAAAGCTTATTTGACAAGCTTTAGTTAAAGTGCCCTCACTGCCATTTTGAAGTGCGGGGATGCTGATTCATGAGACACTGGGTGCTTTAATTAGAGTGGCTCTTGGAGATACTAATTAAAGCATCCCCTCCCCCTCAGCCCCTGAAGCACATGTAAAAACACCCCTAGACTCGGTCTCAATGACTGGGAGTTTAGGATAGTGCAGTGAACTATGAAAACCCCCATGTGTCCTGAAACATTGCATAGAAAAAATGTTCATGGACAATCACTTTTGGATACACTGCTCTAGTCACCAACTACAGAAATGATCCCTGAAAGTACAGTCTACAAGGAAAAGCACACTCTTAAGATCCTGTCCACAAAAGCAAGACATCTCTGACACCAGCTCATTCAACATCACATCCATCTAGTACTTGTATAGTTTGGGCAGCATTCTACTTCTTATGTGCACATAGCCATTCTACTTCCAGATAGGTATGTGATGAGCATTGTGTGTGTACCTGGGCATTAGATCCAGAAATAAAACAGAGGACAGGCCCTACGAGGAGAGACTGAAGGACCTGAACCTGTTCAGCCTCAGCAAGAGGAGGCTGAGGGGGGACCTGGTGGCTGCCTACAAGCTCATCAGGGGGGATCAACAGCAAATAGGCAGAGCTCTTTTCTCCCCAGCACCACCTGGGGTGACGAGGAACAATGGTCATAAGCTGATGGAGAATAGGTTTAGGTTGGAGATCAGAAGGCAATATTTTACAGTTAGGGTGGCCAAAATCTGGAACCAACTTCCCAGGGAGGTGGTCCTCGCCCCTACCTTGGGCAAATTCAAGAGGAGGTTGGACGATCACCTGTCTGGGGTCTTGTGAACCCAGCATTCATTCCTGCCTGTGGCAGGGGGTCAGGCTAGATGATCTGTTCAGGTCCCTCCTGACCTTAGCTACTATGAAACTATGAGGAGGAGGGTGGCCTCCATCCTGGTCAGATAGACAGCCAGCTTAGCTAGAGTCAGGAGGAGGTCAGGAGGTTGACAGAAGGTCCCAGGACTTGGGGGGGCCATGGTGCATTGTTTATGCACTTGGGCGTGCATAAACAAGAAGGTGTGGGCAGCAGGGCAGCCAGAACTTCATCCAAAGATTCTTGAGGAGGCAGTGAAGAGGCTGCAACCTGATACACACTGATTACAGAAGGGGCAGGTGTCAGGGGTGTCTGAAATGCATCAGATATACACTTGTGGCAATAGCTTCATGGAGGAGCTACCAGCTGAAGGCTTCAGTGGCTCATGGGATGAGGGTGGAATACTGGCTTGTCCGTTGGGAACCCACGCCCTTATCAAGGGTGTTCCACCACTTGGTGCTGGGCATGATGCAAGGATGGGATTGTGGAGCATATGGACCACTACTGTGTGTAGCTGGTGGCAATGGGCTGTTTGGAAGCAGACTGGTGAGTAGCCAGGATATCAAGCAAGGAGCCACGTCTAAGGAAAAGCTGGGTTAGGAAGCCGAAAGGTCAGGCAGAGCATGGAGTCAGAGGGCAAACTGGGTTAGTGAGCCAAAGTAGAGAGCAGCATAAAGAACAACAGGACAGCCTGGATAGGGGCTGAACCCTGTCACCCAGACACTTCCCTGTTCCCTGGGAAGGGGTGATGGGTCAGCTGACCCTGGCCAGCCACTCCAGTGGCATGCAGGTTTCTGGCCAACTGTTTCCAGCCTGGATGGTCAGCTGGGAGGTGGCAGATTAGGATGAGTAGGTGTGCTCGACAAGCCATAACCCTGGGTCTGAGGCCACAGCCTGACAGCCATACATCTTGTGACTGCCTGGTTCCACAAATCTCTCTTCTGACTGCTGAACAAGTCTGCTTCAGAAGGAGCACCAGAGAAAGCTCTCAATAGAAAGTCTCATAGTTTCATAGTTATTAGGGGCTGGAAGGGACCTTACAGATCATTGGGTCCAGCTCCCCTGCACTTGGACAGGAAAGACTGCTGGGATCAGATGATCCCAGCAAGATGGGCATCACAATGTTTTTTGAAGATTGCCAGGGTGGATGACTATACCACATCTGTGGGGAGTCTGTTTCAAACCCTCGGCACTCGACTTGTAAAGAAATTTTTCCTTATGCCTAGCCTGAAGTGATTTTCAATCAATTTGTGCCCGTTATTTCTTGTCTTTCCCTGGGGGGCCTTAGTGAATAGATGTTTCCCCAAGCCCTGATGTATGTCAGGTATAAACAGCTGGTTACTAAAACAATCAGTAACCCATCTGTTTTTCAAGCATCACTCAGTGAAGCTTGAACCAGTTGACGTTCCCAGGTGTTTGTTGGAGCTTGCAGATGGGCAGAGTTCTGAGCACGATCAATGGAGAGATTCCAGGAAGAAAAGGAGTGGAACTGGTGCAGCTTTTGGATTCAAGCACCAGTACAGAAACTTGAGCTTTGGATAGGGGTTTTGGAGAGAACTAACAATGGCTTGAGGGAGAACAATAGGTTTGTTTATGGGTAAACAATGGCTCATATGGTGGATAATAGGAACTGATCACTCCTGGCTATGGGTGGCATTACCCTGAGGGAGGTCACAATACAGAGAGGCAGATTCAGTGTTATGGATACCAATAGAGGAGTCATTACTTGAATTGGTCTGATAAATACTGAGCTGTCTGTGTGTAAATGTGGGTTGATTAGCATTTGGAGGAAGGATTCCCCATCTTGCAGTGCTGCCCTGCTTTTCTGATCCCAGAATTCAGTGCGGTTCTTGCCTTGGAATCTCTGTTCTCCATCCTGAATGCTAACGAAGGTGCACGCCTGTCCCATCTCCCATTTAAATGAGTTGTCATCTGGTTCCATCTCTGATGCAAATAAGACCAGGGAAGTTGTTTCACTCCTATCAACTTTGTCTGGAGAGGTTTAGGTGCATCTCCAACTGCATCTTCCTTGTCTTTTTTAAGTCCTTCCTCTAATCAGTTCTTGTTCAGGCAGAGGTGGGGAGGGACAGTGTTCTTTGTGAGTCAGACAGGCTGCATAATGTGCCAGGGTTCCCCAAGAACACAGAGCTGATGGGTAATACCCCCCACTCCCCCCGCCCGCCAGCACTGCCGAGGCCACCTGTGGGCGGTCCCCACTCAGCCTGCCCTTGCCACTGATGTCACTGTGGCCACCTGTGGGTGGTCCCTGCCTGCCGCCGCCACACCCCTGCCACTGACATTGCTGCTGCCTGAGGGCAGTTGCCATGCCCCACCAGCCTCCGGGGGCATGCGTCGTTCATGCATTCAGTTTCCACTCTTCTTACCCGCCTTGGTTCAGAAGGTGTGTCTACTGTACACTTCCATCCCTAATATCCTGAGGGTAATATTTTTCTTTGCTGGTGCCCATTTCTCTATGTCAGCCAACCTCAAACTTTCATTGACTCCAGTGGGAATAGGAGGAAGCCCATTGTCGCTACATGCCACCTGCCCCCCTTTCCCTATTGAATGAAGATTTCTTCCTTTCCCTTTCTATGTTCCTCCTTTCCTGTGTTTACCCTTTTTCTTTAAGAAGACATATTCTCTGTGGTGTAAAGGTGCTGACAGGAATGCAGCATCTCTAAATCAACTATTAGATCTTCAGAGTAACTGTCAATAAATGGTAGTTCTTTTTAATCCAGACAGTAACTCTGGGTGACTGTCATTAGTTGCAAAGAAGAGATATTCTTTTTGGGTCAGTGGAAGATTTCTTGCATAATTTCAGTTATTAAAAAGATGTTTATCATGCCGCAAATGTAACATTTGCTAGGACCCTTAGTCTTCCTATTGATTAAATGTTTATTAGGTATCTCCATGAATTAAGTGTGAAAAAAGACAAACAAAGAGTTTTGAACAAAAAATCCCTGGCTTCTCAATTAGTCAGCTTTCACTCTCTTACAATGCCTTTATTTCACCAGTAGTGCAGGGTGAATAAAACCTGGAACTGTAATATAAAAACAGTGCTAAACACATGTTGTCTGTTACTTGGGCTGGGTTGCAAGGCAGTGCTTCAGTCCATTGTTAGTCATTAAATCAGGTATTTCAGCCACAGGATTTTTTTTTTTTAATAATGTTCCATATTTGTATCAGGATATCAGCAAATATTTCATGATTCTTTTTGTTCTCAGGGCAATTAAGTCAACTGGACAGACCACTGTCAGCAAATTGAAAGAATGTGTGCCAGAAGAACTGTGAACATTCTGCTTCTTCTATCATTAAAGCTATGCAGCTTGAAAATGATGTACTTCAAAAAGCGATCCTTTGCAGGAGGCAGAAGAGAGTCATCAAAGAGTATGGTAGAGTACTGAACTAGAAAAAAGATTAATCCAAGGGCCTCATTAACTCGATGATTTCTATTTCCTAAACACAAATAAAGATCTGCTTTAGTTTAAAATCTTAAACAGTGGATGCAGGTGTGTCTTAATACTGCTTAAATTGTCCTTCTCAGGGTTATTTTTCCACGTGTTTTCTTGAGATACCTTGATTGCAGCAATAGGGAAAACTATGTTTTCAATGTTTACCCAATGCAGTCATAGTCACCAGGACTCGTGGTAGAGGTGATATATTTTATTAGACTACATTTTTGCAACAACAACAAAAAATTAATTGCAAGCTTTCAGGCACAAACACCCTTCTTCAGGCATCGGAGAAAAGATTGTCACTAAGTACTTATGAGTTGATCTAACTTCCATTGTAATCAGTTGATTTATTACTTAGCTCTTATTTTTATTGCCCTGGGCACAAGGCTAGGGGTCAGGGGATACTAAATTCTTCAAGGCTTCTTCCTAGACAGGAAGAAGGGGAGGAGCAGGTTGCAACTGCTTAGAGGAGGAATAGTGTGAGAGGTATCATGTATTTGGACTTTCAAAAAGCCTTTGACCTGGTGTCCCATGATGTCCTCATGGAAAAATTGGTCAACTGTGGCCTCAACTACCCTACAGTCCGATGCCTGGGGAACTGGCTCTGAAGCTAGACCCAGAGAGTGGTAGTTGATGGAACAGAATCAACATGGCACTCAGTGACCGGTGGTGTCCCCCAAGGCTCCATTCTCAGACCTGTACTCTTTTATGTCTTTATAAATAATCTGGACTCTGGTGTCAGAAGCAGACTGGCTAAGTTTGCTGACAACACCAAAGTTTGGGAAGTGTGTCCACACTTTAGGATAGGCTGGTGATCCAGGCCGAATTCGAGAGGCTTGCAAGGTGGGCGGATGAAAACCTGATGACATTCAGTACAGAGAAATGCAAGGTGCTGCACCTTGGGGGAAAAAAAACCTGCATCACACTTATAGGCTCAGCAGTGCTACACTCACTAGCACCACAGCTGAAAGAGACTTGGGGGTTATGATTGACCACAAGATGAACATGAGCCACCAATGCGATCCTGCAGCCGGCAAAATGAACAAAACTCTGGCTTGCATCTACTGATGCATCTCAAGCAAGACCCAGGATGTCATCCTTCCACTGTACTCAGCCTTGATGAGGGCACAGCTGGAGTGCTGTGTGCAATTCTGGGCTCCATAATTCAGAAAGGATATGCAGAAGCTTGAAAGAGTCCAGAGGAGAGCCATGTGTATGATCAGAGGGCAAGAGAACATATCTTATGAAGAGAGGCTAAGAGCCATGGGATTCTTCAGCCTGGAGAAGTGCAGGCTCAGAGGTGACTTGGTGGCAGCCTATAAGTACCTTAGGGATGTGCATTAAGATCTGGGGGAATGCCTGTTCACCAGAGCATCCCAAGGGAAGACAAGGTCCACTGGTCACAAACTCCTGGAAGACCGTTTTAGGCTGGACATAAGGAAAAACTTCTTTACTGTCCAAGCCCCAAAGGCCTGGAATAGACTCCCCCCAGAGGTAGTGCAAGCACCTACTCTGGACATTTTCAAGAACTGGATGCCTATCTTGCTGGGATCCTTTGACCCTAGCTGACTTCCTGCCCCTTGGGCAGAGGGCTAGATCCAGTGATCTTATGAGGTCCCTTCCAGTCGTAATATCTATGAACTCTATGACAAAAGGGAGAGACCCAGGGAATGCTTCAGGGTTGTCTGTCTTCCCCAGCCCAGAAGTGGGAAGCTTGAGTTAAGTGGAACTTATCAGAAACTTGTAAGAAAAAGGTATGAGAGAGAGAAGACACAAGTCTAAATCCTGTTTTACCTACTGTATATCTAATATATAGCTTCTGGCAAGATTCTAATGTAGATGGCCAGAATCAGGAAGGCAACCTATTTCACTGTATATACATAAGGCAGACTCCTTTTTTGCTTTACTCACATTAATGATTGTTACAGAGCTGCATAACTACCTGTTTTGGGCACTTATGTACAGTTAGTGATCCTATTCCATGTGCAGTATGGATGCGCAAGCTTCCACCCAACTACTGAGCATGCTTAGTAATATACATTCTAGCTGGGCAGGCATGCAGCTCTGTACATGTGTACCTGGGTGAGCCTAAAATTGTAGCCAGAACATCATAACAAGGGGAGACCTCCATATTTTATCCCAGTAGCCTAGTGGTAATGACACCTGCTCGGGAAGCAGAAGACCCAGATTCTAGGTTCTTCTTACCCAGAGATGCTTTGGATCTACTGCCTGGTACAGTGTACTATGACTAAGCCACAGCTTAGGCATTATTCAGTCAAAAGAGGGAGATATATAGGACCAAGAAGCAGAGAGCAAGCTTGACATTGTCTTTCTCTATTTGATAGATACTTATATAATCAAGTACTAAATAAATGTGCAGTAATCATAGCCACTGCACAGTAGTGCCAGTGAACACCTTTTAAGTGACACTATTGTGTAGTAGCTTAATAATACTGTGCATTAGCACGTTAGCACCATTGATACTGTGATGTGCTACTGTACAGTATTATTCGGCCACTGTGTGGTTATCATCTTGTATAGACGTGCCCACTGGGTGCATTTACATCTTACTGCAGAGTTCACTAATTAACTCTGCAGTAAAGTGCCACCGTCTACATGTGCACCCCTGTTATGATGCAGTAAATTAATTAATCCTGCTGTAGGATAGTATTATCCAGGACAGGTACTATCCTACAGCAGATTTATTTACTGTATCCTACAGCAAATGCATGTGTAGGTGGTGACTAGGGATGGCTGGGGCATGAGGGTACTACAATGAGAGGACATGGACATCCAAGACGGTGGAAGCTGGTGGCTTGTGACTTCTGGCAGCATGCAGAGATCTTTACCTCCACCTGTAGTGGTTCATCTAGAGAACAGATATGCAGCCCTAGTAGCACAGAGGGAGCAGCACATTCCATTGGTGGAGGAAGACAGGCGAGGGCTCACCAAGATGGGAAGGACTGAGACAATTGCCATCAAAAAGAAGTGATCAGTGGTGGTGGTTGGAGACTCCCTTCTGCAGGGGACAGAGAGACCCATCTGCTGACCTGACCTGTTGTATTGGGAAGTCTGCTGCTTGCCTGGAGTGTGGATCAGAGATGTCATGGAGGGACTACTGAGACTCATCCAGCCCTCTTACTACTACCCCATGCTGCTCATCCATGTGGACACCAATGATACTTCCAGGGGAGACCCTGAGTATATCAAAAGTGACTACAGGGCTCTGGGTGCAAGGGTGAGGGGGTCTGGGGCTCAGGTTGTATCCTCATCGATCCTTCTGGTCAAGAGAAATGGCCCAAGCTGGAGCAGGTGCATCCTGAAGACACCTGCCTGCACAGGTGGTGTCACCAGCAGGGCTTTGGATTCTTCGATCATGGGATGTCTTCCAAGAAGAATGAATGCTGTGAAGAGGTGGGATCCACTTGATAAAGAGAGGAAAGAATGTCTTCGCAGACAGGCTTGCTAACCTAGTGAGGAGGGCTTTAAACCCTCCTTACTAAGAAGAGCGAAAGAGTTGCACTTTATGTAAGTTTATTAAGAAGAGGAGGAGTAACACTTTATGTAAAACAGCCATATGGTTGCTCAGAGCTCTAGTATGAAACTGGAGATAGGCCTGTTGAAAGTTTCTGGGTTAAGGTTAGAGGGGAGAGAACCAAGGGTAATGTTGTGGTGGGGGGTCTGATATAGATCACCAGACCAGGAGGAAATGGTGGATGAGGCTTTCTTCAAACAGCTAGCAGAAGTGTCCTGATCACAGGCCCTGATTCTCATGGGGGACTTCAATCACCCTGATATCTGTTGGAAGAGCAATACAGCAGTGCACAGGCAATCCAGGAAGTTTTTGGAGAGTGTTCATGACAACTTCCTGGTGCAAGTGCTGGAGCGGCCAACTAGGGGCCATGCTCTTCTTGACCTGCTGCTCACAAACGGGGAAGAATTGGTGGGGAATGTAGTAGTGGATGACAACTTGGGCAGGAGCAACTGTGAGATGATAGTGTTTAGGATCCTGAGGAAAGGAAAGGTGGAGGGCGGGAGAGTAAGGATCCTGGACTTCAGAAAAGCAGACTTTGACTTGCTCAGGGAGCTCATGGGCAGGATCCCATGGGAAGCCAGACTGAGGGGGACAGGATCCCAGGAAAGCTGGCTGTACTTTACTGACAGTGCAGGAACAAACCATCCCAATGTGCAGGAAGACTATCAAGTAGGGCAGAAGACCAGCTTGGCTTAGCAGGGACCTCTTCAGTAAACTAAATCACAAAAAGGAAGTTTATAAGAAGTGGAAACATGGACAAATAACTAGGGAAGAACATAAGAGCATTGCTTGGGCATACAGGGATGATGTCAGGAAGGCCAAAGCACAATTGGAGTTGCAGCTATCAAGGGATATGAAGGGTAACAAGAAGGGTTTCTACAAGTATGTCAGTAGCAAGAGGAGGATCAGGGAAAGGTTACTGAATGTGCAATGCAACCTTGTGACAGAGGATACAGAAAAGGCCGAAGTGCTCGATGCGTTCTTCACCTCAGTCTTCACAGGGAAGGCCAGCTCCCAGACTACTGCATCGAGCAGCACAGTTTGGGGAAGAGATGAGCAGCCAACAGTGGCAAAACAACAGGTTAGTGACTATTTAGAAAACCTGGACATATACAAGTCCATGGGGCCATATGGGATGCACCCAAGTGAGCTGAGGGAGTTGGCTGATGTGATTGCAGTGGCACTGGGCATGGTGATCTGGAGAGGTCCCGGATGATTGGAAAAGGGCAAATATAGTGCCCATATCTTAGAAAGGGGGAGAGGAGGATCCCAGAGGGCACAGGAATGAAATGACTGTATAAGAAGCCTTGGTAAAATCAAGGTATATCACATTCACTGATCCCCCGCATTCACAGAGCCAGTCTCCCACATTCTCGCAGGCAAGTTAAGGAAGTATGGGTTGTATGAATGGACTGTAAGGTGGATAGAAAACTGGCTGGAGCATCAGGCTCAGAGGATAATAATTGATGGCTCAATGCCTAGTTGGCAGCCGCTATCAAGTGGAGTG